TAAGGCTGGGCCAATCATTGACTCATGACAACAACTGCACCAAACTCATTCTGTGCTGAATATGGAATAACATATTAAGTGGAAAAAGTTGATAGAAAGCATGTGAACACTGATTATTAAGATACGAAAAAGGATGCTGTACGCATATGCACAAGTTTTAACAAAATTTAAAATGACAGTTTAATCTCATTAATTTTTCCTTCTTTTAGATACCGCTTCACAACACAATCAAAGGGATTCCAATGCTAATATGCAAGCTGAGTTTCTGATTCAATAGAGGACAGACTGGACTTTGTATACTTGGTGCAAATTTCAAGAGGCTCAGGCTGTATTTTAGTTTTGTGAGCCTGGCTTTTTTAAGTATTGCTGGAATTGAATCTTCAAAGAGGTTCTTTAGAATAAAATCAGAATTATTCACATTTCAAGTGTGGGCCACGTGGCACAATTTGGAGCTAAGTCTGTGAGAAATCCCCAAATATGAGTCACATATGTGGGGAAGAATCTGGCCCACAGACTTCCTTTAATTGAATGCCTGTCTAATAAAATATCATCAATGGCATACAGATGCCTGTCAAAGGAGCTGGAGCAGTTCACTATAAGTTCCGGAACTCATTAAATGCATTTCTTCATGCTAAAAGAATTTCTTGCATTTTATTTTGTCCTAAAAAACAGCAACAACAAAAAAAATCAACCACGAAAGGGGCTACAATTTGCATACTTTGAAATACCATCTCACAAAAGACATGGATACAAGGGGGCCCTGGAGGAGGGCTGGTGGCTGGAAGATGTGTTTCTATAGATGGTATGTCTTCTATCCAAGGCCTTAAGGTATCCTCTTTCATAGAGCAGCTATTTTACCTAAAGACCTGGGCTCCTTATTGATTCAGAAGCCCTCTGCACTAGCTATTGTCTTAGAAAAACAGACAGACAGGTCTTGGGAAACCCTTTGGAAACTGGAATGAATCCACAGGTCACCTATTCACACCCAACCCCACTGCTGGTCTTGCTGTACCCTTGGTTCAACTTTGTGTGCACGCATGTCCTTCTCTGCCACACCGTGAGGCTCCGCGGGCCAGGTAAAGACCTGGGGAACCAGAGGTGCCCAGAAGGCATAAGGTGGGAGGGTGTGGGCTTTCCCTGACCTCTGCACAGTGAGAGACCACGTCTCCTGTGCGAGCTGGCTCTGCCGGGCTCAAAAAATGCTTAAATGTACTTCCCGACCCATGCTTAGAATCTTTATTAGTGCAGAGCAAGCTCCCCCAGAGGCAATCAGTGAATATTCTCAGCACTTTAGGCTATGTGGCTTTTGGACAAACCATACCCCTTCTCTGTTAAGCACCATTAATCACATCAGGATTGCTGCTTTCATAAATACTGGCTCAGAAGCAGAAATTGAGTCACTTAGCTGGTACAAAACCAACCAGAGAAAAACTTGATGAGCAACCCTAAAAGGGGAACATTTGTCAATACAGAACTGAGTACACTACCATTGATCAGCTGTTTTTAAAACACTTCAGATAAAAACAAACAAAATCACTCCTTTAAGCAAAAAGCAAAACAAAATAATTACTGGAGCATGTTTTGCTTTGGAGGTTTACATTTGCTGATTCACATTGTATGCTGGGTAAGTTAATACCCATTGCTCATTCATACTTCATCATCAGGCTGCTGTGTAATTAGAGGTAAAAAGAAAACTCATTTGTACAAATCACCTTCACAAATAAACCATAGAATTCCAAATGTGACTCTGCTTAACTCACATTTGACTAAATTTTTATACAGCAAATCAACATCTTTTTCTAAGTCCAAAACAGAATACGCAAAAACACATTATAAGTGCAAAAACCCCACAACAAAAAAAGCAGTTCTTCCTACGTATTATGGACTGTAACTGCCTAAGTCAAGTCTACATGATCCCTGGTCTTCACATCTGATTTTAATTATTAATCTGAAAAAGATTCTCCAAAATTAAAGTACTGAATCAAAAAGGTCCTACTGCACCAAGAGGTCACACAGACCAGAGCTGAAGGGCTAGAGGTCAAGGTTCTAGTTTAGCTTCGTCATGCAATAGCTGTATGACTATGTGAAGTCTCTCGACTTCAACAAAACAAGGTCTGTCATCCACAAAATGAAGGTTTCCCCTAGACAATCTCTAAGGTCCCTTCTAGTTTTAAAGTTCTGTGACTCTGTTAAATATATAAATCTAAAGCGAGACATCAATAGACTACTTCAATGAACATCTTTCAAACTATCCAATGATCAGTTTGATTCATCAATCATGCACTGAATCAAATGATTAGGAAAACTAAACAACAAAAAAAGGTTTGTATCAAAATGGATTACGTTTTCAGCGTCTTCAAAACCAACTTGTCAACATTCATGTGGACAGATAATCATTTGTGAGCCACGAGGTCAGTTAATATGTCTATTTGTTATATACGGCTGCCAAATTCTACCCTGCTTCCTAAGCATGTGTAGCTCTTCCCTTGTCATCATGCCACCTGGATGAGTTTAGTAAGGCAGTTGGCATGGTGGCACGCCAGGGATATATCACTGTTAAAATTCTTTTCGATAATCTGGTAGTTACTTAGGATCTAAAAATTGAATTCTACAATTCATCTTTTTAAAAAAAGTACTACAGACTGCAAAATACCAAATAACAGGCATTAATTAATCAAAGTATTTCATTGGTGATGCTTTCCTTACTCTGCAAGCAAGCCAGAAATTTACCTATTAGTTTCAACATATTCCACCAGATTCTAGAAGGCAACTGTGTCAGGCTGAGGAGTGACCCTGACTACCCAGCAGAACCATCTGGGGAACCCAAGTGGCACCCCAGACGAAATGTCTGGGGTCAGGGCCTAAGCATCACTGATGTTTAAAATGTCCCAGGTGATTCCCTTGTGCAGCTGGGGCCGAGAAACAAGCAAGTGAAAACCAGGCTCTTTGATCTAAGATGCAGGAATGCTGAGTGAAAGGCACTGACAGAGGTGGGCAAGATTTAAAAAGAAATCAAACCTCTCACTACGTACACTTTTTTCCTGCACATAGAAACTTCTAGAAGTCACTGTTCCCAAGAAAAGACACTGTTCACCCAAGTGTGAACATTAAGAATGTACATGATAACCAGCCTAGGAGCAGCAATACTGGGAAACGGTCCTTCTCTCTGCTGCACATGATTCAAAGGCAGGCCTTTAGTTTGCCAGCCGGGTAACAACAGTGCCTCTAGCGAGGTCTGACTTTCCCCTGCATCATCACTCAATAGCATTTCTGTGCTTCAATTAGAAATTCTGACAGCCAGAGTTATAGCTTAAAACATAGCTAACAATTTGACCGACTGATGCAAATCCCAACCAAACCAGCAATCCCTTATAAATTAATTCTACCTGACATCCTTTACATCATTTCATATAAAGTCTGGAAAAAAGAAAAGACTATTCTCCCTATTAAAACGTTCATTAATCTTGACAAAGATTTCACCAACCCTTAATCTCAACCAGCAATCAATTTACAAACGGTCTTGAATTATGTTAATCCCTCACTTTATGAGGCTCCGAAAAGCAGCACCTCCTCTTAAAGAAGGGGGAAAAAGTAAAACCAACACCGTTCCTGGGATCTCAATGATACTTCAGTCCAAACATTCAATCAACAGGAGTGTGATCTGCACACAACAAACTCAATACACACAGAAGATTTCCACATAAATACCACACCCTATACACAAGATCAGATTCATAAGAATGTATTTCTTCCTCACCTTAAACCAGAAAGATAAACAAGCTCCTGGTAACTTGTCATCATGTCGTACTGTTTATCTTGCCCACCTTTTTTTTTTGGAAAGCAACCCCACTGTGTGAAGTTTCCTTTTTCTTAAGGATTTGAGAGTCAGGCCTATCCTATGCAAACACGGCTGTCCAAAACTTCCTCTAACAAACGTTGATTAAAGATTAGTCACTAGGACAGATCATCGCCACTGGAAGCCTGGACTCATGGCTCCAGGTTCCCAACACTTGAAGCCTGGCCTTCCTACTCGATCTCCTCTTCCTCCTCACTCATGTGCAGGCCACCCAAGGGCTTCTGACTTCTGAGCATGGAAGGGGAGCCCAGCACTGCTGGGTTGCCAAATGTGAGTGGCTGGCTCAGAGGGGTCCCCATTTCAGAGTCTGAATCACCGGATTCAGTCCCGCTACTGGTGGAGCCCTCGGTCACGTGCAGGGGCGCCCGCGGACCCGCCATGCCCCCGGCACACGCTGACCGCACGGCGGGGGTCTTTGAGGTGGGGCCCACGAGAGGTGCACCATTAGCCAGCATTCTACCTCCTGAAGCGGCCAGGCTGGTCAGTCCTCCCTTTTCATGGCCATCAAGCCCACCCAATGCCTCTGGGGTTGACGCTACCTGGCTAAGGATGAGTGGGTCTGTCTCCGACTTATTATATCTACTGGGGAGATTCCGTAAGTAGGGCCTTTCTAAGACAGGGGAAGAGTTTTCGTAAGGAGGACCCTGGTTTGGGAGAGGATCTTCTCCCACACGTTCCTCTCTCGGGTCATGCCCGTTTTCGGAGACATAGCCTTGAGACCCGGTCCTGTCCCAACTCATATTTGGACTCGACTGTCTGCTAACGGGAGACAGTGGGGTGGCCGGGGTACTGTGGCCGTCTGAGCCCCTGAACAGCTCGTCTATCAGGGAGCTGTGTCTTGGGAGTCGGGGGCTCCCATTCATATCAAAGGTTAGGTCTGCAGAATCATCATCAAGGAACTCTCTGGAAGGAGGCCGGGAGGACTTCACGGAGGGAGGGGAAGCCCTGCGCCTAGGCTCGGTCTGCCTCTCATCCCTGGAGAGCAGGTAAACCCCACTGGTCAAATCACCCTCATAATTGTCATTTGTTTGGGACTGTGACTGGGACATTTGCTCCCTGAGCAGGTCGGATTCACTATCTACGTCACTGCAGTCAATGAAAGGAATGGAAGTGCTGCTGCCTCTGGCAGCCCTGGATGCTGGACCTGTGCTCGGCTGCGGGGGCTGAGCTTTACTCTGCTGGGTCCTATCCTGAACGGCCTCCTCCTCTTCGTCGGCCGGTGCCCGCGCGGCTCCGTCCGCCTTCCCGCCGCCCGCGGGGCTCTGGGGCAGCGCGGGGCTCTGGCGCGGCTCTTCGGCCGAGACGCCGGGCTCCTCTCCCTGCCGGCCACCTTGGCCGCCCTGGCCGCCGGCGGGCTCCGGGCCTTCTCCTGCGGGAAGGCCGGCACTCTGCTGCGCCTGCGCGGGGCGGGGCGAGAGAGAGGGAGGGTTACACGGGGGCTGAGAGCGGGGAGGGCGAGGTCAGAGGCTAATTCAGTAACACCCCTTAAGCTTCAAGCAGCCGGCAGGACTGCCAAGCAAAGGCTGCCTTCCACGCTGCTCAAACAAAACATTGCTCATGAGCAGGCGCACCCGAGTGAATTTGGTCAGCATCCAGAAAGTTCTCTCTGCGTGTGGATGCTGACGATGCAGGGTCTCCAGCAGCACGAGTGGGCCACTGCCTGTCTGCTCTCTAGGGCCCCTGGGCTCACTGTGGGTTTCCAAAGTTTCCGTGGAACAAGAGAATCCTTGCAACCCACAGGGGGCTTCCCAAGAAAGGGTGGGTGGGGAGAGGAAGAAAACACATGGTGGGACGCCGGCCCCCAAAGGCAAGTTGACATGGATTTCAGACAAAGGACAAAAACTTTGTTTATACTTCTAAGAGAAGAACAGCCAGGTTAGGCACTCTTTTTAGATGCATAAAGGAAATCTTCATGTTCTTCCCCGACAAAGTTGGCATTCTCTTACAGAGAAAACCCGGAAAACACATCCAGAGGCCAATTCCAGAGAAAATGAGCTTTCACCATCCTCAGGGCAGGAGTGATAATGTCTCTTGTTGCCAATTGCAGTCACTGCCCTGTAACAGGAGTCCTGGGAACTCACCACCCAGTCTGGTGCCAACAAAGGGTTCTGACCTTGGCCCCGAATGGGAGCTACACCCAGCAGGTGCAAAGGAGGTCCCAGTGTCTTCATACAACCACACCCATTTAGCTGGAGGGTGGGCTCCGCTCTACTGGCTCCTGTGGGTGGTTCCACTCCTAAGCTGAGTTCAGGCCAACAGAGCAAACTTCTCTGTGGCAAAAGCATGGGATGGAAGACAGGAAGTCAGCTGAAAAAGGACCCACTCCAGGGCATGGTGAGTCCAGGCTGGGGTGCACAGAGCCTGCGTCTGCTCAAAGCCAGGGCACACAACTATACTCTTCTCTACAAAAAGAAACCCCAAAGGTGAAGGGCAAATGACTCAGAAACATACTATGAAACATAGTACTTAACAGAGAAAGTTCGGTGAAACAAAACAGCCCCCCCCCCCCCGCCCCAATTATAATAGTTGATCAGCATTACTGACTTGTTTTGGCACTTCTGAATTCAGCTCTGTAGGCTGGGTAGCCAGGCTTCTGATGGACTGAATCTTGCTATGCTTCCTGGGAGAAATCACATAAGATAGCCAGTTAGATAAGCTGGGTTTTTCCCTTGTTGTTGTTATTGTTTTAAATGAAAAATATCAACAGCCTTATGCCCTTCTTCAGTATGAAGGCACCTAAAGTAGTGTGTATGGATGCCCCATGGAAAGGGAGTCATTCTTTTCCTAATACTTGTGGGGTTCAGGGGTTAAACTCTGAAAAAATTCCCAGCAATCCCCTGCTCAGGTTCAAGGAACCCCAGCCACTGTTCACTACTTTTCTAGTCCTAGAAAGGTCAATGGGAGGGAGAGTCGGCTGGGCCCGATGTCCTGAAGTGCAAGTTCTGGTCTGACAATGTATCAATTCATGTATTTTGGGTAATGATTTTTTTTTTTTTTTAAAGATTTATTTATTTGAGAGAGCGAGAATGAGAGAGTACATGAGAGGGGAGAGGGTCAGAGGGAGAAGCAGGCTCCTCGCCGAGCAGGGAGCCCGATGCGGGACCCGATCCCGGGACTCCAGGATCACGACCCGAGCCGAAGGCAGTCGCCCAACCAACTGAGCCACCCAGGCGCCCCTGGGTAATGATTTTCTAGATCAGTTCTGTAATAGAGGCATTCATCACTAATCAGCCAACTCTTTCAGTGTTGAGTTCAGGGAAGGCCTGCCCCCATTAATGAATTTACAGTCTCAGAAGGAACTGGATTTAATGCCACTAGCGCGTCTCCTTTATCTTTTCCCTTCCTTAGTCTGCCGGTGCCCTCCTCTTCCTCCATGAACAAGCTTTAGAAACTTTTCAGCTACTCAGACGACAAAACTGTATAAATACAGAGATCAAATGCTAATGTACATTCAGGTTTTCTTCAAAATACTCCAAATACATAAGGACGGTCACAGCATCAGGTTGTGGCAAAAGTAAAACAAAGCACCAAGCACCCCGAACGTTTGTCAACAGAGAATCGGAGATAAATACAATGTAATACTTTCACAATACCCTAAAACGCCAACACAGAGCCCCAGATCAAGGTAGGGCTTAAAAAGCAAGATGCAGAATTAGGTACAGTGTGCTACTAGTTAAACAAATGAACCACCACACCGCAGAGAAGTCCTGCACATTCCTTTTGGATGCATAAATTTGTGTAACGGGAGTAACACAAAGCTGACGGTTGTCGCCTCTGAAGGGGAGAAGGGTTGTTGGGTGTGGGGGGGTGTAGCTACATCTGTCCCAACAGTAGTTACACACAAAAGGAAAAAAACCCAGGAACAAAAGAAATGTGGATGTTTGCTGTGTTCTCCATACTTTAATTTTAAGATGGATTAAAATGTAAAAAAGAAAAATGTTAAAAAGAAGAAATCCAGGGGCGCCTGGGTGGCTCAGTCGTTAAGCGTCTGCCTTCGGCTCAGGTCATGGTCCCCGGGTCCTGGGATTGAGCCCCGCATCGGGCTCCCTGCTCAGCGGGAAGCCTGCTTCTCCCTCTCCCACCGCCCCTGCTTGTGTTCCCTCTCTGGCTGTCTCTCTGTCAAATAAATAAAATCTTTAAAAACAAAGAAAAATAAATCCACATGCACTAAACAGCCCATAGTGCATCATCACGTCTGCCGTTTACCCTCTTATCTTATCCCTGGATTCTCTGCTTCTCCCCTCTCGGGGCAGCAGAGCCATGCTCGGGGCAGGGGGCCACTTTCCAGCTCTGTGACATGGGCTAGTAACTCAATCTCTTTGAGCTGCGGTGTTTCCATCTTTAAGAAGGGAATAGGAGAGAGGCGCCTAGGGGGCTCAGTCGGTTAGGCATCCGACTCCTGATTTCCACTCAGGTCATGGTCTCGGGGTCCTGGGATCCGGCTCCGCTGTCAGCAGGGAGTCTGCTTCTCTCCCTCTCCCCCTGCCCCCTTGCACTCTCTAAAATAAATGAATAAAATCTTAAAAAAAAGAAAAAGGGGACTAGGAGCGCACTGACCTCACAGAGCTGGCCTGAAGACTCTGTGAGTTAATATATGCAAAGTGCGTGGAACCTAGCAAGGGCTGGAAGCATTTGCTAACGACAGCTCTAAATCCTGCTGCTTCTCATCCAAGCTGTATTTCATTAAAAGTTTATAGAAATACTCTCTATTCAAATCCCAAAATACTTAAGGACTCCTGGAAGAGGAAGTTTCTAGAGTGTTTTATCCCCACCACAATCTCCTGCTCCTCTTCCATCCCGCTCTCGGCTGGCTTCCTCTTCTTCCTCACTTGGCCCTCCGAGGTCCATTCACATCTCACCTCACCCTTGAGGAAGCGCCCCAGTGCTCGGATGTTTCTGTCTACACCACACTGGCCCAGGGGCCCTATGAAGCACTCATCTGGTAACCCACCAGGCCTGGGTGGAGAGAGATTTAGCAGGAATGCACTGTCACCTGGAGGAATGACTCTTGTCAAATCAGAAGTGGCATCGAAGTTTCACTTACCTTTCAAACTGCACTTTCTTATGTCCCCCTTCTTTCACGTAGTCAAGAACCTGCTTCTGAGTCCGACCACTAGAAGGAAGAAGAAGAGATGGAAGAGGAGGCAGCATTCTTATTTAAACACACGCCACCCCATCTTTCCTTCCCCTCCTGCCATCACCGGGAGAGACGACCTCTGAGAGACACTGTATGTGCCCATTTCATCTCTTGGTATTTCCCTTCTAAATAACAGTGCTCCAGTGATAACACCCCTTAATAATTCTGCGTTTGCTTATTAAGCAACCATCCCGAGAGTCTGTATGCTTCGAGGAGGCGGGGATAATTCTGTTCACTGCGCATCCCCAAGGGCTAGACTAGGATTTGACATGTGGAAGACACTCAAATGTTTGCTGAAAGAAGGAGTGAGAAAGTGAACCAATGATGTGCAAGTCTATGCGGCGTTCCTAGAGGCTACACCAAAGTTTAACACTTGCTTCTACAGAGAAAGGAAATCCTGTCTGAATTAGAATAAAGGCAAGTCTCGGGAATGTTCCCATGGCAAACAGAGGTGTGAAAGGAAATCCTTACCTGAACCGAAATGATGACCCTCGACTAAAGAGAACGGGCTTTGGCTTTGGTTTGGGCTCTTCAAAAAGTCTAAAAAAGGCATGATGTTCAACACAGATTTTCCAGAAGGACTTGCAAAAATCCCGACTGGCCATGAGAAATTCCAAGGTATCCTGGTACGAGCTCTAAAAAGAGAAAACACCACTGTGGGTTTTGTTTTTTTTTTTTCCATTACCCGTGGACATTGGGTTGAAAAATGAGAAAAGGGACAGAAAACAAATATGTCCAATAAAATTTCAATTGTGTATTTTATTATATAGCAGGACCATAAATTCACATGTTTAATAAAATAAAGCTGTTCCTAATGACAAAATAAAGTCATCATTCAACCATTTTCCCCCTTAGAGGAACTAAAGAAAATAGGAATACTTAGCAGAAGTCATAATATTTCTTTTGACAGAATTCATAAGCAAATTTTGTGTATGCACCTTACATTTCCTTCTTAAAAAAAAAAAAATCCAAGCACTGAAATCCCTTTTTTGGGGCACCTGGGTGGCTCAGATGGTTAAGCGTCTGCCTTCGGCTCAGGTCATGATCCCAGGGTCCTGGGATCGAGCCCCACATCAGGCTCCTGGCTCAGCAGGGAGCCTGTTTCTCCCTCTCCCTCTGCCTCTCCCCCTGCTCGTGCTCTCGCTCTGTGTCTCAAATGAATAAATAAAATCTTTAAAAAAAAATCCTTTTGCCCCCTTAAAATAACTGAAACACACTTCTTCATTCTATTTTCTCCCTGAAGGTTCATGCCAACTTTGCATATTGGTCTTAGGTCTTTTCTCTGTCAAGCCACATATGGCTCAAGCCTCCAGGTGGCCCCAGGGACCACACAGGAAATGAACATTTTTTTTCCGGAGCACAAAAGTATCACTCAAGGCTGAAAAAATCATGTCCTTTGAGTTTGGAAAGTGGATAGTGTAATTTTCTATTCCCAGTCTCAACGTTCTCAATGTAAGTGGCCATATTTTATAAACAGGACTTACCACAGTCCTCAATGTTCCCAGCAATTCCAACTATTTTGAGGGATCTCACAGTTCTGGGCAGTCCCAACTTACAAACAAGCGTGCCACAATTCTGCATTTGTAAGTAGCCTTTTGGAACTCAAAAAGCATTTTCCCATAGAAAACAACTTATAATGGGTGGCTGCTTCCCGGGTCAGGCCATAAAAGCTGATTTAATCCACTCTGTAGCTGAACGATAAGACTAGATGGCCATTTATCTTTTTTTTTCCATGGGGGAAAAAAAAAAACACTCCAAGTTCTGGTTGGGGACATCAGAGATTTATCATCCATGTCCTCCACTGCCCACCTCCGGCAGGGGAAGAAGATGCTCTTTCTTCCCTGACCCCGTCCTGGGGTGAGCGACATCTTTAGGGGTTCTGCAGGAACTGGGGTGGACCTGCTTATTAGCTTGTGAGAATGTGTTGTCAGAGACTTGGGGACAAAAGTGGGGACACGAACGCTGGGGACAGTTGGAGGCTTGTATAGGCAGGGGTCAGCCCCGAATCTGGTGGATGCTAAGTGGGGTCTCAAGATGGTGGCCCAGAGGCGGGAACCCCAGCAACTATATAGGTCAGGCTATGCGGGGGGGGGCGGGGCGCTGCCCATTCTTTACCCTCGCTCTGTCTACGCAGGTGAAAGTGTGGTTACTGAGCATCTGGGCACGCCTCTGGGTGCAGACCCTCAGACACCGGCACAGTGCTGGCCACAGTTCCAGCCTGTGCCCTAGCAGAGCCCCTCCATCCCCGGGATCATCGGGTGGGCTCCGAGGTGTGGCTCTGCCCACCCCCCGCCCCCACCCACTTACATTGGCATCAGGGCGGAGCTTGATGAGAAAGCGCTTCCTCTTGAAGCTCAGCTTCCGCACCTTCGCCCAGTTGAAGGCGTTGATCTTAGTGAAACCCTGAGAAGAAGAAAGGTATCAGCCAGTGAGCCAGGAAATGCATAATAAGCAACATGGGGGTTGTTTGCCTCGGGTATGGGGAGCTGTCGTTCGAATGCTCAGTAAGAAGGCCTTCTGCTAGAGGGTTCTCAGGATTTGCTGCTGTGGATGATTCCTGTTCCTGGAGCATTATTTTTCACTAATTATAGGCTCTGGCATTCAAACTAAGTTTGCCTCCAGGGAGAGGAGCAGCCGGCCAAGGGAAGGATAAAAAGAAACACAAAAAAACAATAAAAACCATGACAACCACCACCACAATAATTAGTGACCATCACTTTCGGAGTGCCAAGCTCTCCGTAAGGACTTTACAGACCTCATCTTATCAAACCTTAGACAATACCCAGGGAAATGGCTTTATTATCTTTCTCTTACAGATGTGGAAACTGCTGCACGGACAGATTTTAATTTGTCCAAAATCACACACTTCATGTGGCAGAACGAGATTCCCGAGCATGTGCCTTAGCCAGCAGCTAATTGTTAATCTCTATAAAGCAACACAGCAGGTTAGCAAGCAACCCCACGGCACGCACAGGTCTGGCTCCCATGCCCAGCAGGCTGCCAGTCACACAGGCAGATGGGGAAGGGAGGGCCGGCCTGCGGCATGTCTTCTAGACCCGAGAACAGTCTCAGGGAAGGACTCACACGTCCTCATCTTTGAAAGTCAGGTGTGGAGAGCCAGGGTGATGGAGAAGCAAGGGGACGTTGCCAGATACCAGCTCCCATCTGTCCTGTCATCTCAACTAAAATTAGAATTCCTCCTGAGCCTGCTTGAACACCAGAACCCTTTATTTAAATTGGTAAGAATGAAGCAATTAAGGACTGGCAAGAAGATTAATTCCGAGATACAGACTTTGTACATGATTAAATAACTGAGCAATTCTCAATATTTAGACTCTATCACACATAATCAAGGCGAATTAATTCAATTGTGAGGCACTTCTTCCCCCCAACCTATGACTTTTAGAAATGTTTAAGGCTTCTGATTTTAAAATTTCATGGTAGGACTGAAAACTCTATTTGGTTTATTGTCATTTTGCTCATTGAGTACTCCTAAGACTATTTCAGCAGGTCAGAGACTATTAAGAGCAGTCACCTCCACCAACACCTTTCCCATATGAAACCCAACTTCGGCTCCTCTTGGGACAGCATTCTGGGATAATTCATGTCTGTTGTAAACATCTGATACTGGAGAAGAGAAGCCCTGGGACTATTTTGGCAAAATAGAAAGGGAAAATATAACCGACCCTGGCAGAGCCTGAAGAAGTATTTTAGATTATGTACATATTTACACCTTCAAAACGGGTGAAAATGACCCAATTTAAAAGGCAGACACTTTCTCCGTACCACTTTGAAACCAAAGCACAGATGACTCGCTTTTGTTTAAAAGAAAAGCACTGAGGAAACCTTTGGGGGCGGTGAATATTGAATATGTTCATTGTTTTGATTTCATTGATGGCTTCAGGATATATATATATTTCATTGATGGCATATATATATATATATATTTAAACTTACAAAACTGCATACTTCAAATATATGCACTTTATTCTACGTCCATAATACCTCAATGAAGCTGTTAAGAAACAAAAAGCAGCACTGATCAACAGTACAACAGCAGTGTGATCAAGAGAGTACACATTTCAGAGTACAGAAAACTTTGTTCTTAAGTAAAACACAGGTGAATTCAAGTGTAGTGTTTTGCTACAAACCTACTATAGCACCTGGCTTTTAGGAATTTATAAAACTATGAAATCCTAAAAAATACGCTTTTCTTTTTAAGTTATGTAATACCTGAAATCACAGATCAGCCGACTGAGGTAAAACCTAAATTAGGTTTAAAAACCCCTAAATTTGTTTGTTTTTTTTTTTAAAAAGCAACTAAAAACCTCAACAGGTTAAAAAAAAAGGGGGGGGGAAGGGGGGGAGACGACCTGAGTATCATGTGCCACTGTGAAGAAGGTGTTTACTTGGGGGGGATATAAAATCCTGATTCTATTATGCTGGGTTTTGAGCAGAGGTCCACTGAGAGAGACTTCTGTGACCTTACAAAGTCAAGAGACACAAGCAAATCTCGAACTCTGCATTTCCCAACCAGAGTAAGGGCCAATGGAACAGGATCTGAAAGCTGAGGGCCTGGCAAGAAATCGAAACCCTGAGATGAGGTTAGTTTTTTCCTGTTCACCTAAAAGTAACTGTCAAGAGGTCTTAACTCGGCTCACCCAACATGGAATCAGAGTTGAAGGGCCAACTCTTATCTTTCCATCACCTAGGGAACTGAGCTGTGTTCTAAACGCTCTTACCTGAAACACAAGAATTCCCGTGTTGGCAACAGCCAGGTTGATCTTAGTGCCTTCCCTGTCCTTAGCTGGGTGCAACCGGATCCCATACATCTCCAGCCTACGGGCAATCTCCAGGAGTTGGAAATCTGATTCTGCTGGTGTTTGTCCACTGACAAAACAAAAATTAAAGAGAAAGGCCAGGAGATTTGAATTCCCTGTGTCTATTAATTTGAGATTAAGCAACTTCTCTCGGGAAATAAAAAGGCATTTCATCACAAACAACGGAGCTACCTGATCAGATGACACCCAACCCCCCATTCATTATCACCCAAAGTCGAGCAGCTAGGACAAAAGCCCCATTGCCTGTGTAACACAAAACCCCAAAAGTCTATCTCACATTTACCCTGGTTTTTTTTTTTTTTGGAATCTCAAAGAGTTTCCTCTAAGGTCATATAAGAGCAAAACACCACGGTGTTAAAACATGTTTTTAGTAACTTACAATGGGCCTACACTTGGAAGCAAAGTTCAAGACAACATTCTTGCATACGATCATCAAAGCTCAAGTACCCTCCTTAAGAACAGCAACAAAAACAGTAGGCCCAGAGCATCTTTTGAAAAATATGACACCGATCAAGACAAAAAAAACAAAACGGAGAGGATACAAAGGTTCTAGATTTTCATAACATTCCTCCTTGGCCCCTCGTTGACTATATCCCTTTCCTGATCTCTTGTTAATTGGTCTTACATTCTCCCTTTAATTCCACAACATGGGTGTCCTAAATTCCAGGCCTATTCCAGTAGCACAGGAAATCAAAGAAGGATCCTAGAGCTCTGGTCTTAAGTAGGTAATCTGCATTTGAGAGTCCAGGGTGAGTAACAACAGCCCCATGAACCTCTGTGCTCTTCTCCCTCACCCTTGGCATATTTCATCCCAAAAGTTAGCGTGTGTGCACACCCACCTACGCTGGAAGGACAGAGAGAAACAGTGCAAAGGGAACGCGAGGCACCCAGTGGGACTTACATGTGATTGTGGTGAAACTCCACGATTTTGTCTTCTAGTGCATCTTGCTGAGGTATGTACTTGTTTTTTGCTAAATGCTCTCTGTCTGATGCTTCATCAAAATCCCCAATCTCGGCTACCAAGAAACAGAGAAAGAAGACGCAGCCATATAGGATTAATACTTCACAATCTGTTACATTCCCCTGTGGAACATTCTCCAGCTAGCAAAGCAGAAGGCAGCAGACAAGGCGAACCCAGCCTGTGGGTATCGTCAGGGCCGGACGTCAGAAGACTTCCTGCGAGGACGTATTTAACAACTGTGCCAACGTGGCAGGATGGATTCCACTCTTTCTCATCTCTACCAGCTGGAAAGAAAACTTCAGCATCCATCCATCTTCATCCGTCCATGTTCCTGATTCCTTCCTTCCTCCCCACTCAACCGGGACAACTTCTGTTCTAGGCAAATTCTAGACATGTGGATTTGACTTTATGACTTCTAAATAAGCCCCAGAATTTCAGGATTTTACAAATGCAACTTTTGAAACTCTTATATATAATAATTACTAGTGCAAACCCCAGATGCTTTCTCATGTAGAGAAAAGCCAGTGGTAAAAAGGTATAAACATATGTGATCTAACTTGGTGAAATAAAACAAAGTTTATTAAGTCTCTTGTAGTTCTAGCATCAGAAATGACAGGTCAGACTGCAGATTCTTATGAAGTTTTCATTTACAAGGAAGATGAGGCACATTTTCCTCACACAACCTCTACATCATCCCCGAACTGTTATGATCTAGAAATCTAAAGGAAAGACCTTTAAAGTAATGATTGTACCTTAACATCACTAGCTCCAGCTCAGTTTATACCAATTTAATACCTCTGGGACAGCGTGGCTTTTTCTTTCAATCATATGGTCTGTGTAACAAGCTTAATAAAAAGTAGCCCAATGACCAGAGCCCAGGTGTTTTGAGTAAAAGCTAGTGAACGGTTGCTATGAAACCTGCCTGTCATTCTGTCATGTGAAGCAGCTTGTCCCACTCTGGGAAATGCCCCACCAGTAATCATGCAGAATATGGCCTACATGTTCCCATAAATAGCACCCACTGAGAATATTTGCTCTGCACAAAACAGTGCCAACTCATCTGGCTCCAGCTAAGCCAGTGGAAGAATCATTCTCTAGGCCTCCTGCTGCTATGACAAATCAGTAACTTTCCTTCCTAAGTCTGGGAGATCTTCAGTAAGCCCATATATAAAAAAGAAGAAGATAAGCATGGTCCCTAGAAATACCTCATCATATTAGGCGCATTTATTAACCACTAGGAGTGACACTTCCTACAAACCTTTGGGAATCTTGTTACCTGGGCAGTTATCTGAATGGGCTGATTCTACGGGACTACTCTGGATATAACAGAAATTTTAAAATGATATGATGGCACAATTTCTTTTACACTCATATGTGACATAATTATCTTCCTGAAACATAATGTCTATGTTCCATTTCAAGTAATTTTTGCCTTGGCCAAGAAGGAAAAAAAAAATGCCCAGCTGGGTTGTCAATAAGCCTTAGAATGAGCACAATCTAATTTATCCTTTGCCTAGATGAAGAAGGTTAAAATATCCAGTTTCAAGCATCACTAGGATTCAGTCCAGCTTCATGCGTCCTGGGGCTTACTGAACTCTGGAGAACAGAATACAAGAAGCGCCATCGTTGTTTTAGGTCTTAAGGCTAATGTGCCACATTCAATAATGGATATTAAGTCCAAGAACAGGACAGAAGAAGTTTAGTTTACTTGGACACCATCTGTCCAAGCTCCTCCTCTGAGTCAACTGAGATGACCAACAATTGCACACTAAATCCTTAAAAGAGGGGCACCCGTGGGGCACAGTCGGCTGAGCATCTGACTCTTGGTTTCAGCTCAGGTCATGATCTCAGAGTCCTGAGATGGAACTCTGCACTCAGCATGGAGTCTGCTTGAGATTCTCTCTCCCCCTCTGCCCCTCCCCCCTCCATTTTCTCTCTCTCAAATAAATAAATAAATAAATCCTGAAAAGAAAAATAAACAAAGAAAGATAAGAGTAGACAGATACCGAACACAGAATTCACAGGCCAATGCTGGGGGCGGGGGGGGGGGGGGGGGGGCGCGGTAGGGGGTGTGTGCGGACACCCATCAAATATGAGTATGGTCTTCAACCCACTGGCACTCATGCTCACAGCAAAACAGCACAAAGGCATAATTACTGTGTTTAGAGCATGTGATCATTTCCCCCCCATCGATCAGATCACGGCGGGCTCCCGCATGACCTCGGGAAGAGACGGACGCCACTTACACTGTACGATGTGTGAGATGAGGAGAGCCGCGCTGGTGTCATTGCAGGTCAGCCTGCCCTGAGCCAGGTCCTGCTTCACCTGCAGAGCGAACAAGTACCTGCGGGCAGAAATACACATGGCCGGCGTCACGCACCGCGCCGGCCGGCGTCACGCACCGCGCCGGCCGGCGTCACGCACCGCGCCGGCCGGCGTCACGCAAAGGGGGCGGGAGGTTCGGTGTCAAAGTCAGGCTCACTTCCGGCAACTCGTGAGGAACTAGAGAAAAGTACCCAAAGCAAAGCAAATAAAAGTCTGCACCGGCCGGAATGAACGCCCGGGGCCACTGACTGCAGTGTCAACACTCAACCGTCACTAGAAGGACCAAGAGACGCGCTGGAACCGTGTCACATGAGAACGGATACATTTTATTCCATGGCTCTACCTCTCCATTTAAAAATCGAAGACTATCTTACGCCACTCTCCACATAATTTTTGCAGAGTGTCACAAACGTGTACGTTTTTTCCCCCACAGATCAAATATACTAAAAAACAACTTTCAGGCTCAGATAATAACAGTAGCTTAATATTACGGTTAGGGAGAGCTTTTTTGCCAACCGACTTGGAAAGTTGTGTGGTGAAATATTCACTTAGGTCCTTCCAAAAGGCTCGGTTGCCAGATCTGTAAAAATTAATTTCACAGTTATTTTTATATTACAGAAGAAAGTAAACATTTTTGGTAAAAGAGAAAAGAGGTATCTATAAGTCAAAGATATTAAGTAAAAATAGTGCAATGTAAGAACTGATTTGGAAAAAAAAAAAAAAAGGAACTCCTACATTTTTAGAAGGTTATTTGCTAGTTTTGCCCACTGCCTAGAGGTGCTACCTCAGTAGCAAATCTTGGAAGTCGGATTCTGGCACTCGACAATTACTGGAAGGTCACAGAGGTAGGTCCATGGAGAAATGGTAGATTCCAGATATGGGGTGGGTATGAGCCTGGAATATCTAGTGATAACTAGAAAGCAAGGCAGCTTTGAAATATAAATGGGTTGTATTAAAAAGGCAAAAGAGAGGCACCTGGGTGGCTCAGGGAGTTGAGTGTCTGACTTTTGGTTTTAGCTCAGGTCACGATCACAGGGTTGTGAGATCGAGTCCCAGGTCGGGCTCTGCACTCAGCGGGGAGTCTGCTTGGTACACTCTCTCTCTCTCTCTCCCCCCCTAGCCCTATCCCCCCTCCTCTCATAAGTAAATCTTAAAAAAAAAAGGGGGGGGTAAGAGAAACATCTTGAAGGGGCATCCACCTGCCAATGCTGTGGCAACTTGAGTATCAACAAGAATAATTAAAGTGAATCAAAACACATGGAACTGATGAGAATTCATGAGTCCATTTCAATAGTCAAAGAGAAAGCAGGAAAAACCGAATGTATCACCACTGGAGGAGACTATTAAAGCAATATTTGGTAACCTGAAGCAAAAAACTGAGCATGGACTCTGACTCTCCAACAGGAGTGGCGTTTCAGGATATACAGAAAATCCAAGTAGATGAGGCAAGGTTCCTTACAGAAGTATCCAACTAATAACAACAAGAATCCTCCTTCCACAACCTCTCAAGAAGTTACAGACTCTGGCAAGAACTGTTAAATCATGTAAAAACCATTCAGGAAATTGGATGTTTGCACAGAGACAAAATAACATGACTTCACTTCGCAGTGGCAAGATCAGACCACCACCACCCTAATTCAATGATGAATCTTAGCATCATTAATGAAATGGGAAGCACACATCACTTCTAATGGATTCTAGCCCAAAATGTCCAACTTGTTCCATCAAACGTATAGAACTACCTTCTAGTTTTCTGGAAATGCAGAGGATAGAGGAAGAAGCTAAATGGCACCACGAGGAAGAAATCTGACAAATTCAAGAGGTGGGATACTTTATAGTATAACTCGTCCAGTTTCTTCAACAAGGTGGTATCATGAAGGAAAAAAAAAGAAGGGACTCTGCTAGATTAAATGAGGTCCAAAGGACATAACCAAGTGCAACTCTGGTCCTACGGTGTATCTCCTTTTAGATGAGCAGATACAAATGACAATTATGGGACAAATGGGGAAATCTGAGCATGGTCACAGTATTAGGTAAAACGAAAAATACATATGGAAAAATCAGAAAGGATATCACACTCCTGTAGTACCTAATGGTCACCCCTGGGTGACAGGAATACAGTATTTCACCTTATTTTTGCTTATCTGTATGTTCTAGCTTTCTACACTGTACATCTGCAATTTTTATAATAATGAAAGGTTATTTTTAATTTAAAAAAAGAGGGGCTTTTAATAAGATCAACCACAGAGGTTGCCATAAACATTAAGTGAAGTAACCTATGGAAAGCTCAGTGACCAGAACAAAAACATTCAATATATGTTAGCAATTTTTCCCTTTTACATGAAAAACTAGAGGTGCCTGGCTGGCTCAGTCGGTAGAGCATGCGACTTTTGATCTCAGGGTCATGACTTCAAGCCCCATGTTGGGTGTAGAGCTTACTTAGTAAAATTAAAAAAAAAAAAAAAAAGAGAGAGAGAGAGAGAAAAGAAAAATGAATCCCCTTTTAAGTTACTTAGGAAATTTCATTATTAAGAACTAAAAAGACTAGAGGCAATCTGTAATCAGCTCCCCCAAAAAACGCAAGTCAAAAAACACCCCCAAAACCACCACTTGATAACAGTTGACCATTACCCAGTCGCCCCTGCCCCCGCCATTTATTCTTGCTCTCATGTTCTCTCTAGGAAGTCGAAGGGAAGAAAAAACAGAGAATCTAAAAGAACCCAAACATCAACATACAGGTTTACAAGGGGAGAGGCAGCACAAACCATCTTTCTAGATTAAGCAGGGGTACGATTTTTTGAACCTAACACTTCCTAGCCCTACAGGCTTTAATCCTCTATCCGGTTAAATTTTTAAATAAGTCGAGGGCATAAAAGCATTACATTCTGAATATTTTACCATCTCCCAGTTCAAACACGAGGTCTTGTGTTCGTGGAGAAATGTTCGGGGACAGATGAATGGTCAGAGTCTGACAGGCGTTGGGAACCTCTGGTGATGGTCTCGTGTGGACTCCAAGGCAGCACCGGCTTCCGGAAGCTCACACGTTTAGGCATTTTTGAAGACTGCAGGAAGAGCCTGTCACTCCTTAGTCCTGCTGAGTCTTCCTGTTCTGAGGCCCTTGTAACATGAGAACGACCTTCCTGGGTCCTGACAGTTGACTTCTCAACGACAGCTGTAAATCAGTGCTAACTTTAGAGATTCACCAACACCTTTCGTACTATAAACTGAAGCAACCACAATCAAATTCACGGGAGCTAAAGGCTCAGTTAACTCAGCAGGCGCGGAATAAAATGAAACCAGTAAATGATGCAAACGCAAAGAGCTCAAAACAGAGTTCGGTCCTCGGCAGCAGGGTGGGTGGCAGGAGAAGGGGATGATGGTGGCGGGGCTCATCAAGAGGGCTTCTGGGGACGGCAAGGGTTGCAAATCACACCAATCTAAGGCCCTGCTTTAAATGTGTCTATTTTAATTTATTTCATTTGGGAGCTCTTCATTTTTCTTTCCTTATTCAACGGAAAGTAATTTATAATTTCTCTGCCAGCCTCAGGACACCTGAGTAGGCCTTGAAGAGCAGCAAGTTTTGATGGATCTCACCACCTCTAAGAAGAGCACAGCCAAGGAGAAACTGGATCCAACTGAAGACAGGACGCCCAGAGCAAAGTGTGCCGAAATGCATCGGGCTCAACAAGACGGACTCGGAACTCTGCAGTAAGAAAACCTGGTAACTTATTTCCCAAGGACCCATCCCCCTCGCCGTTTCAAACCCACACCTACTTTTCTCCTTCTAGAGGCCTGGGCCCTGGTGGCAACAGGACAGAGTGCCACGGAAAGTGTGGTTCAATAAATAGAAAGGAATTCAGCTCCTTGGTTAACAGCGAAGTGCTATTTAATCTTCTGTCTACATAAATGGGAAGCTGAAACCTATTCCGGAGACCCCGAGAATTAACTGCAGAGCTAGAGTCACTTATAATCTGCTAAACTGCAGACCTGCCTCTGTCGCCTCCTTGTCCCCATACCCCTCAGCTGAAGTGCTGTCCACACAGAGCTTCTCCCAAGCCCCCCCACCCCACTCCCTGTCTGCTGCAGAAAAGTGCCTGGAACCTCAATGGTCGCATCGTTAAATTTCTGCTTACACAGGAATTTGAGAATGAGGGAGGCAACACTTTGGATCGGGAAGGTCCCCTTCCTGCTGCAACTTGCGACAAAGTCAAAAGCGAGGGAGAGCTTCTAAAATTTCCTATTGATTTTCTTCACCCTTGCACCAAAAGGAGTCTCTCCTTGGAAAAGGTTTTTTAAATGTGGGTTAACACTGGGAGCCAGAAAACAAAGACAACAAAACCCCAAAGCTGCTACATCCAGCTGAGCCTGTGTCACCTGAGGAATTTATCAGATCAGACAGAGCAGCTGGCCACATACCAGGCACACTTGGCTAACGGGCCCCAAGCTGCAGGAATTTTCTAGCAAAAACCAGAATGGGAGGAAACTACAAGCCTCTGAGACAACGATTCACAAATACTGAAAAGGCGCAAAACTCAAAGCAAAGTAGAATGGGAAGGGAAAAAAAAACAAGGATTCATGCCACCAACTGCCTGAGGAGGATAGAGGGGCAGCGACCGACAGGAGGCAAAGGCACATGCCCTGTGACAGCTGGACTCGCCTTCAGATTGATGTCAATATTCTGAGCTTCGAGCAATGCACGTTCCAACAAGAGGAAACCCAGCCCAGACACCGAGACCCAGTAGCCCCAGCAGTAACACCACAGGAAGGCTCTACTGTCGTTGGCCCGTCTTGTGCCTCTCCTCCATGTGAACTGTTCTAGTAAACATACTTCCCAGAAGGCTGACGGCTCCTCTATTTCCTGGCCAATTAAGGGCTTCATCAATTTGAGGATTATCAGTGGAGGTAAACATCTAGCAGCAACTCATTCAGAAAACGCAGAGCCGTGGGAAGAGCCATGGCCTCCACCTCTTCCTGGAACTCCACGTTCGTACACCCAGCGCCCTTCCTGACACTGCCACGTGACATCTGGTTGGCCTCTCAGACATCAGCTGGCAGAACCCAATTCCTGACTCTCCACCCCTGCGCGATCCCCTGCTTCCCTCCGCCCCTTCCTATTTTAGCGTCACCAACACGGTCAGCCAGCCGCGTAAGTCAAAATCTAAGCATCCCTCTCCATTCCTTCAGTCTCTGCCGCCGGCCCATTACTGGGACAGATGGACCCCATCTCCAGCACAGAGTCCAAATCCACGCTTCTCCGTTTCCACTCCTGCCATTTCCTCTGTTGCCACCATCACGACGCGGACGACAGCAATGACTTCCTCACTGGATTCCCAGCTGTCATGGTCCTGCAGCACCCACATAGTAGCTAGACTTTCAACCCTACCAACCGTCCAACCTCTGTGCCACCTCACTGCACGTTGCCCTCTCTGTTCCTGTCCTGCCAGCCTTCTCTTAGGTACAGCTGACCCTTGAGCAACACAGGGATGAGGGGCGCCGACCCCAGGCGCAGCCCCAAATCGGCATGTAACTGTTGACTTCCCCAAACCTTAACTACTGTTGACCGGAAGGCTTACCACTCAGAAACAGAGTTGATTAACACGTATTTTGTAAGTTACACGTACCATATATGGCGTTCTTACAATAAAGGCTAGAGACAAGAAACGTGATGAAGAAAATCCATTTGTGAAAATACATTTACAGTCAGTCCTGTGCTATATTTATCACACTCTCACACATACACATGCGCGTGTACAATGTGCACGTAAGTGGATGTGTGCAGCTCAAACTCATGTTGTTCAAGGGTCAACTGTATTTGGATATCTGGAGCTTGAACGCTGCCCAGCTGTTCCTTCTACCTGGAAAGCTCTTCCTCCAAAAAGGCCTGAAAGATTCTCATCACATCCTCAGAGAGATCCCACTTCCTCAGACTGGCCCATCTAAAGCTATCACCTGGTCACTGTCTGTCATATCATCCTCCTTCAATTACCTACAGAGCTCTTAGCATTATCTGATATTTTTTCTCGTTTATTTTAATCATTTTGTCCGCTCCCATGACAGTCAGGCTTCTTTTCACCACTGTGAAACTTTGCACACAGTGTCCACCTTCCTAAGTACTGCTGACGGAATGTCTTCATCCCTTTGCTAAATGATGGTCAACCACCCAAGATACTGTGCTCCACACCCAGAGGGAGGAGAAGGGTAGGATAGGCTTGGTCTAATCAGTTACAGCTTGAAAGCCGTGTGTGGGAAGAATGTGGCTGGCCAGACTAGGAGTACGTCACTCATAAGGGCACTCTTGAAAGGGAGACATTTTGTCCTCACGCATTCCCACCAGGCTCTGCTCTCCTCTAGCATATACCGTGTGTCCCGTGCAAGTTAAACAATGATGGTGATGAAGCTAAACAATGATGGTGATCATTCATAGCATCCCTACTGGTTCCAGCCACCTCAGGCATAATCCTGCTTCTCCTCAGGACAACCCTGGACAGGAACCCAGCACATTCGCACTGAACAGGGCAGTCAGCAGAAGCACAGAGGGAGCAAGGAAGCTGGCCAGTCACACAGGGACCAAGGGCAGGCCTAACTCCGTGCTCACGCTTCCCCCACTTGGCCAACTTTCAAAGAAACTGATCACTGGTTCAAGCCCACCCACCCATGGCAGCAACTAAAAAGACCCAGAGTTAACATCTTGGTTTCACAGAGTTTGACTTCCCCAAAACTGCCCTGTGATGTGATGGCCGGAAGAAGGAAACGAGGACCGTGAGAGGGGTTATAAGCCTGGTTCCCTTCACTGCATAGCTTTCTTTCAAGGAAAACATGGTGCTTCCTCTCTCGCCGTGTTTGTAAGCACAGCTGGGAGCAAAGGGTTACCCGGGGAAGCACAGTGCAGACGCTGGTCAGGGAAACGCTGTGAAAATGTGTCATCGGTCGACCGAGAACATTAACTTTCTCTTCTCCTCCGCACCCCATGGCAATAAAAACCCAGTTTCCAAACCACTAACCTTGTGAGTTCTTCTTGGAGTTGTGTGTGGTCAGGTGGAAAGAATTTCACCACAAACTTAACAACAACATGCTTTGGCCCTAAAAGGGGGGAGAAAAAAGCAGGAAAGCATTTATTGATTTGTTTCAAATGCAATTAAAGAAAAAGACTTCAGAGGGTATATTAGACACCAAATAACGAGTCTCACTGCAAGCTGCCAAGAGCACATCTGCTGACATCCAGGTCATTGAATAGGTAGTTGAGGTACTAATTTATACTCCCAAGTCAGAGAGACACAGCTGCCTGTTATAAAATAATGCCTTGGCAAGACTATTCCATTCAGGTATTAACCTTTTCCTCTGAAGACTTAAACTGTACCCAGATTGTAAAAACAGGCATCTGTCTTCAAAAATTTATCTAATTGGCTATTTTAGTCCAAATAGAGGGCATCAGAGAACCTGAGGGAAAAATGAAAATGTCACTTGGTTATACAATTTAGAATTTTAAGCTTTCCACCAGGTACAGCTGCTGATGTGTTCATCAAATATGTATGAGCACCTACGTGGCCAGGTGCTCCCCCGAGCTCTGAGAAAAAACAAGACACGGCCCAGCCCCCCGGCTGGCAGCCAAAGCCTTTCTACACCATGGTACGGGTGTAGGCAAAATCTGGAAGCAGATCTGGGACGGGTGGACAGGGAAGGGAAGGGATCAAGGTGATGGGTAACTTTTCAGAATTAAAACAAAACAGCAAATAGATTATAATAATTTGTAACCTGAATCAGAGCCTGTTTTCATATATGTATCAAATTTTACATATATCAAATATATACATATATGTGTCTATTTATGCTCAACACCAGAGCACTCTTACAAGTTCTGCCATTTGGAATGACAGCCAAGAGTTTAAGGGACTATAATGAAATCCAAATTTTAACAGCAGTTGTATAAAAGCAGAAAATGTATTTTTGCTCTACCTTTCACTGTCACAAAAAATAATGCTGTATTACCATCTGTGATCACACATTTAAGTTGAGAAAAAAAAAAAAAACCCAACAGTGACAGAAAATGAAGATGGGGGCAATATACACAAAATTAGGAGAAAAACAAGGCACAGACATACTGAAGCCCAGAAATGCTGGGCCCCTCTCCCTTGCCCACTCTAACAAGTAACAGAAACCCTTGCCTATGAAGGCTGGGTCAAAGTAACAGCAGCACCATGGGGAAGGCAGGAAGGCCAGCCTATTCTCCTGTCCGCGGGGGATCCCATAAGGCTACTCAGATCCTTCTAAAACCTGAAGCGGGGAAGATGCTACCCCTCAACGCAAGAGGACAGCTTTGTCTCACACACAACTAGTCACAGCCCATGGGGATCCAAGGAAAAGCCCCATTCAGTGTGGACCCAACGGCGACAAACACCGTCTTTCGTCTGCATTTGGCAACGTGCTAAAAGACACCTTTCCACCCTGAGCATTTCCCAGGAGTTACTGCAGGGACACAAGTCATCATTCTGGATGCTTCGCTACCCCCACCTATCAGGCCTGGGGGCTTCTCTCAGCAACGTGTGTCTCCCCCCCCCACCCCGCCCCCGATGCTCAGTCTCTGGCCAGCCATCCCATGAACGTTAAACAAACAACGGTGGTTTCATTTTCAGCATCAAATAATTGCCAACATCAATTACAAATGCATAAGGGTCCTGCAGACACAGTGCGCCTGTTTATTACCCCCACATAAATTGCTAGAAGTGGCCCAGTGGGGTCTCTTAGTCAGACATTAAAAGGATCGCAGCAAGGTGTCCTGGTGCTTCCTGTTCCACGAATGGCATGCGATTTTGTTTCTATCCTCAGACTTCTGCCCAGGCTGGGGCTGCAGTGAGGGAGCATTTAGACTCTGAACTTGACCTCAAAGCAGAGAGTGGGGGGTGGGGGGGGACTGTCATGGTCTGAGGTTCAAGGAGAAGGGAAAGAGAAAGCAAGCCTTCTTTCCTTACTCCTCTCCCAAGCCCTCCTTAATCTTCTCCAGCACAAGATGTAAATGCAAGCCAGACTCCCTTCAGCTCTGCTTGCCATTCAGAAACACACACACACAAGACACTTTTGGGCACCTTATTTTTTCCACACAACACTTGCGTACTCTGATTTCCCAGACTTTGGAGACACGGGACAGAAAACAGAAAACCTAGCCCCAATCTTTTGAATACAGGGCCCCCCCACCTTCTCTTTCAAAAGTGCCAGTAACAAACACAGGCATTGACCAAGGCAAGTTCAATTAGGCTGGGATTAACAGCATGCTTTAGTTGTTAAATCAAGATTTGCTCTCCCAAGCAAGGTTTTGATTACCAAATTGTTAAATATTAAAACTGCAGAAGTGACATTTTAATTGCACTTGGATTAGTGGGTGATGACAGGAAATCATGGGGTAAAAACAAAACAAAACAAAAAACCAAGAATCTGTACCACCAGTGCTGGATGCCACAGGGCAAATGACGTGACGTTTAGAAGAGGAAACTGTCTGGCTTCATTTTTAACATCACTGCTAAAGGCCCCCGCGTGAGGGATATACTTACGTCTAATCTGCTTGACAATAGGTTTTAAGAGATCCAGCCACACCTAAGAAAGAAAAAAACAGATTGAGACAAATTCTCAATGAAAGAGTGCAAGTATTTTGAGACTTGACTTGGAGCTGTTTAAAATCAAAATATTTCTGAGTATTTGAGGCCGTCTGTTCCTGTTTTCTGCAGGATGGTGTGTCTTCCATCATCTACCACTTGCATAGTACAGAGCCAAATTTGCTGATATCATCCCTGAGCTTCCAAGTTAAAATCTCTCCCAGACTCCAATGGTGAAAAAAGACTTTTTCTCCTCTCTTCTGCACTTTTCTCCCATAGCTAGCTATTCAGCAAACACTGATGCACTATTGCACGTCTGGCTACAAGTGGAGTGAAACATGCACGCTCCTTAATGAAACAAAATACACGCCTGTGTACACATTTACAGAACAGCACATCTTTGACGGATATGGGAAGGGAAGGAATATGGAGAGAATACCACGTCCGCCCGGGCACTATCCATAAGCTTCTGACCTCTCAAAACAAGGCCAGAAGGATTCCCATTGCCCAGAAGAGTAACAGAGACTTGCAGGGGCCAATAATTTGTCCAGACAGGCAGAGCCCGGGCTGAAACCAGGCCTGTCCAGCTTCAAAGTCCAGACTCTTTTCACACACAGGCAATTTAGGAGGCAAAATTAAGAGAGAGAGAGCAGACAGCCGCCCTTATGGAGAAAGCATAATTTAACCGTATTATCCCATTTCACACGCTGCTTTTCTCTAAACTCCTTTTGAACTTGTGGTCATCTGGAAAGGGTTTTACAGAAGACAAGGTTACTGTGCTTAATGTAAAGAGGGTTTTATAAGTAAATACGAAAAACAGAACACTCCCAAACGATGCGAAGAATAACAGGTAACTGACAGAGAAAAAAGTTAACAGTGGCTAACGGGGAAAATGTTCAAATTCAGGAGCAATCCACACTACAAGTGCAAGTCTGAAAAATCAAATACCCCTTCCACCCACTAAATCTGCATCTAGATAGGACTATATGTATATGTGTATTCATAATACCCCAATTTGGCAGGGAAATGTGCACTGTCTTAACTCTATTGGTGGAGAGATGAATTGGTACGTTTCTGGAGACTAATGAGGGAATAATTATCTAAAGCCTAAAAAAACACTCCTACACATACTCTTCCATCCAGTCATGGAACTTTGGGAAATTATACATTTATGCACACAAAGATTTATGTGAAATAAAAATGCTGTGATTAGCATTCCTAATGGTGAAAAATTTTTACAATAACAATAAATAAATAAGTAATCTATAGGACACATTACCCTGCAGGCATTAAAAATTATGTTCTTGCTGAATATTTAGGCACGTGGGAAAATATGTTTGGGAGGCTGGAAGATGGATGATTTCCTGTCTTCTGCCTTTCTCCATTATCCAAATTACCTTAAGTGAGCGCTAAGAATTCTCATAATGAAAACACTAAAAATGTTAAGTATCTACTTATTCAGGTTACTCTTTCCCCATTCGCCTTTTCAAAGCAGTGAGATTTCATAATGAAATTCTCATTTCTGTATTTCCCATCCCCTACTGATCTCCTATAAGAGAGAAAAAACAAAAAACCAATGGCATTAGGGGCATCTGGCTGGCTCAGAGAAGCATGTGATTCTTGATCTCAGGATTGTGAGTTCGAGCCCCACGCTGCATGTAGAGATTACTTACATAAATAAACTTAAAAAAAAATAATGGCATTACTTGACTTAGGATCATCTCCACTGTGGTAATTATAAACCTCAACCTTCAAATGTGAGAACATAAATATTTAAAACTACAATCATCGTTTGCAAGTTATATTATTTCCCTCTTAAGACTCTTAACAGATGGATCAGGTGCCAAATGCATTTCCACGGGATAAGAAACTGAGATCCAGACAATCAGTGCCCAGAGCTGGAACTTAAACCCTGTTCTTAAACTTTTTTATTCATTTAACAAAAAATTACTGTGTCCCCATGGTAGGCTCTGGGAATCCAGTGATGAGACAAACTTAGCACGGTCCCTGCTTCACGGAGCCTACGGTCTAGTGAGGAAGAGACATGAACCAAACCCTTCCTGACAAAAGCAAAGTTGTGCCTGATAGAAACAGAATGGAGGGAAGGCAGAGGACTGCCAAGGGCTGGGACGGAGAGATCTGACCAGGGATACGGGTAGAGGGAACCTGAGACCTGATATGAACATGACACTGTGGAGGGAATGGGTCCCTGAAGATGATGTCATGCGGAGATGTGAAGGGGACGAGAAGAAGAACACACACGTAAAACCTTTGCCCAGATGCTGGAGGTGTGAGGGGAGCGCCACAGCCGCAGAGCAAGGCGGGTGGGTCAGGAAGGGGCCAGACTGCCCCCCCCCCCACCCGCGGCCATGCTGAGATTCTTCATCCTTAGCCTAAGAGCAATACCAAGTGAGATTTAAGCACAGGGCTGATACCATCAGGTGCGCACTTTAAAAAGATGAAGCTGGCGGTGTGAGAATAGCCAGAGGGGGCCGGAGTAGATGCAGGCTGAGAGCATGCTATCTTGGAGCAGGGGTGCAGAAGCAGAGATCGGGGAAAAGTGGGTGGATTGAAGAAAACTTACGAGGTAAAATCAAAAGGGACTTATTGATGGACTGGATTTGGTGGCTCAGGGAGGAGACAATGACCAAAACGACACCAGGATTCCTGGCGAGGGCCTCCGGGCAGACACTGGCACCGTTCACAGAGACAGGAGTACCGAAGAGGGCCAGGATGGAGGTTCTAGGCTTTCATTTTATGAGGTGCCCTTGGATTTCATGAGCAAGAGACAGTATGATAATGGTGGGGCACACTGGTCAGGAGCTCAGAGGCGAAGCCTGGACAGGATATCTCACATTAGAAGTCGCCTTCACTCTGACTCTGCGGAGGGTAAGACAGCCTCACGGAGTCCCGAGGATGAAACGCATGACCAAAGATGGCGCCTCCGCCATGGAACAGCCTGGTGGAAGCAGATGAGGACAGAAGGGAAAAAAGGAAAGTTACGTCACAGAAGCCATGGGAAGACAGTGTTTCCGGAAGGAATTATACCAAGAACTAATGAAAGGTTAAATAAGATGAGAACGAAAATACAGAATGCGAGTTTACATGTCTGTGTTGGGAAGACAGGGAAGTTCCTTATTGCTGCCTTCTGCTTCCCCGTTAAATTGGAGGGTTGCAGGACGGTGGCAGGGACAGAGTATATGTGAAGTCGTCGTGTTGCATGGGACAGTACGTCAACTGGAGAACCCTAGTGGGATGCCCCCCACAGCTTCGGCGTGCACACTCACGGGCCTGCAGGCCTGCGCTTGCCCGGCCGCCACGGCTGCCTCGGGGGACCCTCTCCGAGAACCTTCCCCATCGCCAGTTCTGCCACAGAAGCTGCCTCAACTTCCACAAACCACTCAGGACAAAACAACTGTGCTCTGGCAACGTTGATGCCAATTTTATGAATTGTTTTAAAACAGCTCTCGTCTGTTTTGGGCATTTCTGTGGCAGACATGAAATACAAGCACCAATTTGAGCCAAGTGAGCATGTGGTTTTAGAACAAGCAGGTCTGGGAACATCAGACCGGCGTGAATGAGGCTGTTTGGTAGGGCTCAGCAGCAGCCATGCTGGAAGCCGGCGATCACGTCACAGCTCACCTGGGGAGGGTGCCGGGGTTGGGGCGGGGGGGGGGGGCGCGGATGACTCAGGGCCTCTGAGAACCTCTCTGCTTACCAGTTAGTGATATCTGCAGGGCTCAGAGAAAAGGTCTTGCGCACAGAGGACTTAAGTTACCACAAATGGATGAGCTAGAAGAAGCAAGAAGACAAACAGGGTTGCTGCTGGATAGAAGTAAAGCACGGAAGTTTTGATACACAGGAAAAGCCACTGGGCTGGGAAGCATCTGAAGTCGACGAGGTCATCGCAGACAGATCACTTGGTCACTCAACCTAAGCAGAACAGAAGCAAGTTCCAGACCAGTTAAAAAGGCAACAAAAGCACCATCACCTTTCTTTCCCTGCCCACAGATCTCTAGAGGGTGACAACTGTAATGATCGATCTCTAACCCCACTGCCCACCCCTTCAACCAGGCCACACACCCAACCCTGTTCTCTCCAAAACCATGCTGCTGGTCTCCAGAGCACACCTACACATCCACACTACCAGACGACCAAGGGATTTGGTTAAAATGAACGGATTTCTAGAAATGTCACTCCAGTCAGTAAAACTCACTGAATCAGGGAACTTCCCTGGTAGCAAGGGGTTGCTGGGGCTGCCATGCCAAACCACCACAGACTTGGGGGCTTGGACAACACACCTTTATTTCCTCACAACTCTGGAGGCTCATGGTGTCACAGGCTTGGTTTCTCCCGAGTTCTCCTTGACTTGCAAATGGCCGCCTTCTGGCTGCGTGCTCCCATGATACCGCCTCTGTGCATGCATCCCCCTGGTGTCTCTCAGGTACCTCCAAATTCCCTCTTTGTAAAGTGACAACTGTCAGTTGGATTAGGGCCTACCTTCATGGCCTCACTTTAACTTAACCACCTCTTTAAAGGCCCTATCTTGTAGTACAGTCTTGTTCTGAGGCACTAGGTACTAGAGCTTCCACATACAAATTTCGGGGAGACACAACTCAGCCCCTAACGTCTACCTTCCACAGTTTGGCTTCAACACAGCTTTCCAGCCCTGTCTTCTCCGGTTTGCCTACATTTCAGTCAGGCTACCTATTTTCCTCTGACCTTCTGTTAGTATCAGTGTTAGAAGAAACACTGTAATGCTTAGGTATGAACGGTAAGGCAGGATGAACCACTGTTCCCTCAACATCTTTAGCCTCTATTATTTTGGTGAGTGACATCTTAGGTAGAGTTTGTAGGCAACTAAAATATTTGAGGTATTTTGGAAAGGTTCTTATTAAAAGAGACTCAGTTACTTGATGTCAGAGCACTGGGAAGAGACTATTTCTTGAGCACGTCCTGTGTGCCAGGCACTAACTAGACAGGTGCTTTATACATTCTCGT